GCCTGTAATCCAGGGAAAATTGGTATTGAAATTTAGGATATAAAAAAAAATAAATATATTATTCTCATTTGTTAAACTTTTTTTGCCTTTAAAACATGTATTTCTACTTTCAATTTACAAATATATGCTTGTGCATGTAAACAGTGCGAAATCCTTTCTCATTTTATCATATTATATATTAAAAATAAATTCTTAAGATCAAAATTGTGTATTTCATTGGTTTAATATTTAAAACTTTTTTCTCCTTAAATCCAGGTAATTCGTACTTTCAATATCTACTTAAATATATACCAAATTGGACCGTGAAATAAAATAGTAAATTCTCATTTTTTTATAATTTATTAAACATATTATAAATTGATATTTTCGATTGATATAGCAGAATAAATATCCCTAAGCTCAAAATTGTGTATTTCATTATTCTAATTTTTTTATACCATTTTCTCCTTTAATCCAGGCAATTTAGACTTTTAATTTCTATTACTATAGATACCAGAATCGCCTTGTAAAAAGTGAAAAACCATTTCTCATTTTAGTATATTATAAACTATATAACTATCACTAACTAAGTCAATAACATCTTAGATATACTACCCATTACTATTGAACCTTTAGTCTAATAACTAACCCAATAATAAAGTATAAGAAATCTTATTATATACATACATAAGCTCTATTCTATATTTTAGATATCATCCTAAGTCCTATGACCATTATCCATTAGTTACTCTATACCTTTGCATATACTTTTATATTAATTCTTATACTAAATTTTTAAAATATAATACTTCATATAATCTTAGTATATATTATGAACTTTATGATAGTTTTATAAAAGTCAAAATCAAAAAACTTTTGCATCTAACATTGACACTCTTTAGAAAACATCTAGCCTTATGTAATTTATGCTGGAAAGACTGAATATCCTACTCTCGTTCTTGTATTTTTATTGCTTCCTGTACTTTCTTAATCTGAAAATTTCCCTAAGCTCGAAATTGTGTATTTCATAATTTGAATTTTTTGATACCATTTTATCCTTTAATCCAGGCAATTCAGACTTTTAATTTCTATTACTATAGATACCAGAATCGCCTGTAAAAAGTGAAAAACCATTTCTCATTTTAATATATTATAGACTATATAACTGTCACTAACTAAGTCAAGAATATCTTATATAGACTATCCATCAACCTCTAGAAAAATAAGGAAGCCAATAATAAAGTACAAGAACAACAAATATATACATACATAAACTCTATTCTATATTTTAGATATCGTCCTAAGTCCTATGACCATTATCCTTAACTTACTCTAGACATATATATTAACTTTGATACTAATTTTTATACTAAAATTTTTAAATATAATACTTTATATAATCTTAGTATATATTATGAACTTTATGATAGTTTTATAAAAGTCAAAATCAAAAAACTCTTTCATCTAACATTGACACTCTTCAGAAAACATCTAACCTTATGTAATTGAGGCTGGAAAGACTGAATATCTTACTCTCGTTCTTGTATTTTTATTGCTTCCTGTACTTTCTTGATCTGAAAATTTCCCTAAGCTCAAAATTGTGTATTTCATAATTTTAATTTTTTGATACCATTTTCTCCTTTAATCCAGGCAATTTAGACTTTTAATTTCTATTACTATAGATACCAGAATCGCCTGTAAAAAGTGAAAAATCCTTTCTCATTTTAATATATTATAGACTATATACCTATCACCAACTAAGTCAATAACATCTTATATAGACTACCCATTTCTATTGAATGTCTAGTCTACTAATGAAATCAAAGATATAGTGCAAGAACAACAATTATATACATACATAAGCTCTATTCTATATTTTAGTTATCTTCTTAAGTCCTATGACCATTATCCATAAGTTACTCTAGATATATATATATATACTTTGATACTAATTTTTATACTAAATTTTTTAAATATAATACTTTATATAATCTTAGTATATATTATGAACTTTATGATAGTTTTATAAAAGTCAAAATCAAAAAACTCTTTCATCTAACATTGACACTCTTCAGAAAACATCTAACCTTATGTAATTGAGGCTGGAAAGACTGAATATCTTACTCTCGTTCTTGTATTTTTATTGCTTCCTGTACTTTCTTGATCTGAAAATTTCCCTAAGCTCAAAATTGTGTATTTCATAATTTTAATTTTTTGATACCATTTTCTCCTTTAATCCAGGCAATTTAGACTTTTAATTTCTATTACTATAGATACCAGAATCGCCTGTAAAAAGTGAAAAATCCTTTCTCATTTTAATATATTATAGACTATATACCTATCACCAACTAAGTCAATAACATCTTATATAGACTACCCATTTCTATTGAATGTCTAGTCTACTAATGAAATCAAAGATATAGTGCAAGAACAACAATTATATACATACATAAGCTCTATTCTATATTTTAGTTATCTTCTTAAGTCCTATGACCATTATCCATAAGTTACTCTAGATATATATATATAAACTTTGATACTAATTTTTATACTAAATTTTTTAAATATAATACTTTATATAATCTTAGTATATATTATGAACTTTATGATAGTTTTATAAAAGTCAAAATCAAAAAACTCTTTCATCTAACATTGACACTCTTCAGAAAACATCTAACCTTATGTAATTGAGGCTGGAAAGACTGAATATCTTACTCTCGTTCTTGTATTTTTATTGCTTCCTGTACTTTCTTGATCTGAAAATTTCCCTAAGCTCAAAATTGTGTATTTCATAATTTTAATTTTTTGATACCATTTTCTCCTTTAATCCAGGCAATTTAGACTTTTAATTTCTATTACTATAGATACCAGAATCGCCTGTAAAAAGTGAAAAATCCTTTCTCATTTTAATATATTATAGACTATATACCTATCACCAACTAAGTCAATAACATCTTATATAGACTACCCATTTCTATTGAATGTCTAGTCTACTAATGAAATCAAAGATATAGTGCAAGAACAACAATTATATACATACATAAGCTCTATTCTATATTTTAGTTATCTTCTTAAGTCCTATGACCATTATCCATAAGTTACTCTAGATATATATATATAAACTTTGATACTAATTTTTATACTAAATTTTTTAAATATAATACTTTATATAATTGTAGTATATATTATGAACTTTATGATAGTTTTATAAAAGTCAAAATCAAAAAACTTTTGCATCTAACATTGACACTCTTCAGAAAACATCTAACCTTATGTAATTTATGCTGGAAATACTGAATATCCTATTCTCATCTTTGTATTTTTTTGTCTTCCTCTACTTTTTTTATCTGAAAATTTCCCTAAGCTCAAAATTGTGTATTTCATAATTTTAATTTTTTGATACCATTTTTTTCCTTTAATCCAGGCAATTTAGACTTTTAATTTCTATTACTATAGATACCAGAATCGCCTGTAAAAAGTGAAATATCCTTTCTCATTTTAATATATTATAAACTATATGAGTTCCATTAACTTATACTTAAAAACCATCTTTAATATTGATTTATATATTATGTATATATATATATATATATATATGTATTAAATTATTCATTTCTTCTTTTTTTATAATTTAGTTGGTTGATAATTCTCATCGCTGTCTTCTTCTTCTTCACTTTCTGACTTTTAATTCTATAATATAAAATTATTAGTTACTTTTTATTTTAAGCTTTTCTTCTAAACTTTTTAATCTTTTCCATTGTCTTTCACTTTCCCTTACTTTTGCTCTTTGCTTTTCCCTTAGGTTTTCTCTTAGCTTGTCTCTTAGTCTTTTATTTTTTAAACTTATGTTATCCCTTGTTTATTCCCGTAGCTTTTCGCTCTGCTTTTCCTTCGGCTTTATGGTTTGATTTAATTTTTAGTTCTTTTATTTTTCTTTATGCCACTACTTTTTTATTGTTCCTCCTAAAACTAAAATTTTAAATATTCTTTAATACCTGATTAAATTAGTTCTTTTCTTCACTTGCTTCGATCTCATTAATTTGTTGAAAACTATTTTTTTATCCAGATGCTTGTTATGATTATGAAAATATGTTATTGCTTGTATTGATAAAATTATCCACAAATATCTCTTTCTCCTCATGCTGTCCTTAAATTCTGTTTGAATCAATATCTTGTTTTTCTATACTTATTTAATTTTTTTATTCATCGCTATTTTACTTGTAATCCTTTTTTTCTTAAATTTTTTGCTACGATACATTTACCTTATCTAGTTAAGTTGCTAAATCTTATATAACTTGTTGATTGTTATCATTTTGTTTAGCTTGCGATGTGGTTATATCAGCAACTCTTTTATCTTCATTATCTTGTTCTTATTGAGTAATTGTATTTTTATTTTCTTCATAATTTTTTTTAGAGCGTATAAATTTTTTAAATACTACATAATCGAAATCTTGCATAAAGTCGAAAAACTCCTTGTCGTTGGTTTGATAGTATAAATTCTTTTTAATTACTGTATTTATGTGTTATTTTGCTTCATTATCAGTTTTAAATTGTTGAAATATCTAGGTTCTATTGTTATCAAATGTACAATCTTGTATTTTTCTTTTTATGAAACTGATTATCGCTTCTTATTGTGTTCCTAAGTGTATTCTTTTTTCTTCTGTTGGTTATGTGTAATATAATATATCATTTATTACTTAGAATTCGTTTATTGCTAATCTAAGTATTTATTTTTTAGCTTTGTTAAGATTTTTTTGTAGTAAAAAGTAAAATAGTACTTCATATTCTTGCCATATTGTCAGCATTTTCATGAATTTTTCACTTTATGTTTAATAACTATTATAATCTTTCGGAGCATACTTTTAAACTTAAGTATTCTTTATCTGATCGAATTAATTTTCATATTACTTTAATAAGTCTGAAATATCTTTCGAGTTAACTTTTAATAGTTGTAATATAAAACGTATTGCATGTGGTTGTACAATTTTAAAAACTAAAACCCTACTATCAATATAACCTTTAATTGCTTCTAATGATAATGTTTCTATTTGATTCTTATGTGCGTAGTATATAATCTTAGCAGCTTCAGACGAAATGTTTTCTTAAGTTTTTTTTGAAAATTTGTTAAAATCATCTGAATGTGTTTGTAATTGTTAAATTATGTATTGTTTGTAGTTTGGTGCGCTCGTATTTGTACTTTCGAATTCTTATTCAAACTGTTCCTTATTCCAAAGTTTCATGCCTGGTATGAGATTGGTTACCATTTTTTTATATTATTCTACCTCCATCTCTTATTTGTGAAACAATTTATTTTGTTTTTTTAAGTGTGTATCTGTAAATAAGTGTTGTTATTTATCCTCTACATGCTCTTCACATATTTTGCATTAGTTCTGATTGAATATATACCTGAGAAAAAATCTGTCATTTTCATTTGAATTAGATGTTTCTACTATTTCATTTAATTTAGAATCATGTTATATTTCCTCTATTATTTTATTCTAATCTATGTATTATTATTATTGTTGCTGCTGTTGTTGTTGTGAATTCTAATTTTTTCCTTTGAAGCTCTTTTAATTTTCATGTTGCATTTATTCATATGAATGGTTCTTGTATTTTGATAAGAAAGTTTGGTTTTTGCTCTGTTCTCTTCTTATTTGACTATCTGTTATAGGCACATCTTAAGTTCCGCGTTGTTGTGTTATTTATTCCTTTTACATTTCTTTGGCGCTTAATCTTTAAAAAAAAAACAAAAAAACAAATATTTTTTAATTAATTAATGTTTCTTTTTCATTATCAATTTCGCCTTGAACCTTGGGAAATTAACTTTTCGTTTTGTAATATAAAATGCCTAAAATCCAGGCGATTTATGTTTTCAATTTATACTAATATATTTATTAAATTTGCCTAAAATTCAGGCGATTTATATTTTCAATTTATATTATTACATTTATTAACTCTCCCTAATGTTGTTCCAAACTTTTGTGTTTTAAATACATACAAGTTAGATATTATGATATTGTCATTAACTTCAAAATAATAAAAAATATAATGCTTATTACTTAGACTCTTTGTAATTTATCCTTCTTTCTTTAATTTCGCCTCTAAATATTGATTATTCTATTCTCTTCTTTTGGTGTTTTGTGTTCTCAGTTCAGTTTTAATACTCAACTAAATCCATAAGAACAAAATTGTGTTTTTTTATCTGTTAATTTTTCAAAACCTTTTTCGCCTATAATTCAGGCAAAATTTATTTTGAATTATTATTTTATAGATGTGAAATTTCCCTACAATTCGGGGAAAACATTTTATCATTATAAACTATTAGACTTTATAAATCCCTATTATCGAGTATATATTGATAGTATTTATTTTTATCATTTCAAATTCATTGTGCGCTCATTTTTCTTTTTTATTAATTATTTAAAATAACCTAAAGTATGTTGTATGACAATTTGTCTGATGACAAGCTAATAATCGATAATCACAACTTCCATTTAATTGATGACCCCAGAAATGTTTCTCAAGATACTGATTATTATTCAACTAATTTACTTTTTGAGAAACTGCGCTCTGGAAAACAAACTCGTTATTGTAAGGTATGTAGAGTTAATGTACATTACAGAAAATATTTGAGCCATTTGGGAACAAAATAACATATAAGAATTTCTAATTACAAAGTATTTAAATATGTATTTGTTGTTAATTAATTTCCATAGTACCAATAGAAGAAGTAATTGTAGTAACTTAAGAAAAATTCTTAGATATTATGGTGGGATTATGTAAATGTTATTAATTAGATGATAAAATAAAAATATACTATAGATTAGTATTTTAATGACACATTTGAGATGTACCTAAACTTATTTATTTATATCAAGTCTTGGCATAAAAAATAATTAAACTCTTTATTTAGATTCCTTTATTAATTTAAAGTTTATAGAGTAAAAACAAAACATCTCATATAGTATATTAAATATGAATGGGGAAGTTATATTTATCTGTCCGCTCTCAAAGCCTATCGACTTGAATTTCATTTGGGTGCTGATTTAGATTTAGATGAATTGGTGAAAGATAAAGCCATAGCTTAAAGAAAGAAAAAAACAATATAAATCTTTTAGTAAATTGATTAGAATCAAATGTAGGTTTATGTATACAGATTTATATATTAATTGATGTTTGACAATATTGAATTGTCCTTCTTTTTACATTTGCTTTTTGTTTTACATTGCGGAGTTATCTAATTAATTAAATTGAAAACTTCATAAATATTGATGTTAAATGAAAATTTGTTTAAGTTTTAAATCTCTGAAAGTAAAGTACATTTCATTAGCAAGGATTCATAATACGGATAATTTATTGATTAGTATTTATCTTAAGATAACGAACTCTTTTTTAAAAATATAAAAAATACAAGCTGCTTGTACAGGTAATTTAGGAGTCATGTAAATAATTATCTACATTATTCTTAAGATCTGTTTTATGCTTAGTTTTTAACTTCAGTTACATTATCAATGATAAAAAACTTACCTATTGTCTATCACTCCAGTTGAAGATATATACTTATATATATATATGAATTATAATTAAATATTTTGTTAAATATTATCTTTAATTAAATTTGCATCTTTCTACTATGTCAATCTTTCCTAATTTAAGCCCAAATAGAAATAATATGTTAAATTAGTATTATGTCTTAATACCCCTATTTTTAGGGCAAAATTATTTATCTATAATTATTTAATATGTGTAATATTTGCCTGTAATCTCTTGCAGATAAGTTATCATCTTATCTCAATATTGATTTTTAATTTCCCTATAATTTAGGGGAAACCAATTTCATTTTATATTGATGATATTTTTAAAATTGCCTGTTTTTTAGGCGACAAACTATTTTATATTTAAATTATAAATTAATTAATTTTGATATTACTCTTCTATAAATTTAAATACATTTCTTCTTTAAAATTAAGCGCTCATCTTATACCTATTATTATTTGGTCTTTTAAAATAACAGACTTTTTTCAAACAAAAAACATCCATTTAATTTTTATATATAATTTTTAAAGACACTTTCGCTCTTCAATGAGTAGTCCATAAAAAATAAGTGAATAAGAATACGAAGAATTAATTACGTTTGTCAATGAAATACTTAAAGAATAATAATAGTAGTAAGAGTAATGTCAAGTTATAATTTCTGCCTCTGATGAAAAAAATAGCCCCCCAATTCAACGTGAAGTTTGTTTTTAAACAGATCCAGATACTATTGGAGAAATTGATTCTTTAATTGGAAATTTTGAACAGATGACAGTTAATAAAAGCCTGTTTGAATAAATAGAGTTTTTTGGTGGATGCGCTTGTTTTAAATTGTGTGAGATTTTTTCTGGAAACTAAGAACCCTTGACTCTATTAAGTAGGATCAAAATGGATAAATTGCGTGAAGAGCTTAATAAATAAATTAGGGAGACTATATTCAGATAAAATAGAAAAAATTATATTCACTAGCTAGACAAACAATCTGATAAAAGTTGTTTTGAATAAACTTAATAGTAGCAGTAGTGTTAAGATTAATAATAAGATAACATCAATACTCATAAGTAATTTTATTTTTTGTTATTATTTTTATCAAGAGAGAATATTAGTACTTTTGATGATGTTGATACTTTTCCTAATGCAATAAAATCAAAAGCTAAGGTTGTGAAGAAACGACGTAAGTAATCTCATATACCTTACTGTTGATTAATATATAGATATATTTATATATAGGAAAATATATGTTACTATTCCAATCTACTGAACTATAAATTTTTCTTTCCTTGTTTATCTTCTTAATAAGACATGCCTTTTGTTGATAATTGTGTTGTTAATCTCTGATATTGAAATATTAAAGATAAATTATCCTATCATTATTTACTTCTAAATGTAAATTTCCCTGTAATTTAGGCGAAACATATATTAATTCTTGATAAGTATATAATGAAAATTCCCTGTATTTTAGGCAAAATAATTTTACAATTTATGTTTATATATTTAATAAAACTAAAACATAATCAACTAACTAGTTCTAATATTTATCATTTATAAATTTAAATACATTTCTACTTTCAATTTATCTACTTTTATTATACCTCCTAATAATTCGTCTCGTAGTAGTTTAAATACCATACTTTTTTCACCAGAACAATATTTTTATAAATACATATACATTTCAAATATACACAGTTTTTCATGAGTACTCCGTAATTTGGTAGTGAATAAGATGAAGAAGAATTAATTGCTTTTGTTAATGAAATACTTAGAGAGTAACGATAAGAAAAGTAGTAAATTCAAATTAACATTTTGCCCTCCTCCGATGAAAAAAATATTCCTATTGTCCATCATGAAGTTTGTCTGTAAACAGATCCTATTACTATGGGTGAAATTGACTCATTGATTGGAAATTTTGAACAGATGACTTTTTAGAAAAGCATATATTAATAAATATAGCTTCTTGGTGCATGTGCATGTTTTAAATTATGTGAGATTTTTTCTGGCAATGAATAACCCCTGACTAGGATTAAGATGGATGCATTACGTGAAAAGCTCAACAAATAGACTAGAGAAACCATATTCAGATAAAATCGAAATAATTATTATTAGAATTCAGATTAAGGAGGAAAAAAAACAGATGACCATGCTATTTAAAAAGCAGTTTTAGAAAATTAGTAATTATAATAATAAGATGAACTTGATACTTGTAAGTAATTAATTTTTTTGTTATTATTTCTATTTAGAGATCCTATTAGTACAAAGTAAGAAATTGATGTAGTTAAGATTGTTAAAAAATCAAAACCTAAAATAGTTTTAAAGAAGAAGAGTACTTGATATCTTTTCCATAGTTTTTTTATTTTAAGTATTTTATATTTCTTTTTCCCCTGTAATTTAGGCGAAATGTTGTATTAATAATTATATTTGTATATTTCTAATTTCCCTAGAATCCAAGCGATATGTGTTATTAATAATCATATTTTATAGTTCCTTTTCCCCTGTAATTTAGGCGAAATATTTTATTAATAATTATATTTGTATATTTCTAATTTCCCTAAAATCCAGGCGAAATGTTTTATTAATAATTATATTTAGATATTTATAATTTTCCCTGAAATTCAAGCGAAATATGTTAATAATATATTTGGTTAAAAGTAAAATATATATACTTCAATCTATTAAAGCTACTTTCTTTTTTGAAGATCTTATAGTAATCAAGTAGAATCCTGTTTCATCTGAATATAATAAATCTTCTCCTTTACCTGTTATCTGTAGGCAGCTATGATTTTAAAAGTCGATATTTTATTTTGCGTGTGTTAAAGTTCCCTTTAATCTATCCCGAACAATTAATAGTTATCTATCGTATAACTCTATTCTAAATAAATCCAAATTATTGTTTAGTCGACTTGGACAAAACATTTAGCTCTTTTTTCTTAGATTATAATCTTCTGGTTACAAATAGATCCTACTTTAGTATTTAGCCTCTCCCTATTTATCAACATAATTTAAGTGATATTCCGATTAAAACTGTTATAATATAATTGTATTTGGTTCTACAAATACTATCTAATCTAACGGTGGAGGTCCTATTTCAAAGTTTGGTAACCGCTATGGAAATGAATAGAATTAATGTGTTTGTTCCCAATATTATTCTTTTCTGTTGAGAGTATATAACCATGCGTATCCATCAGATCCTAGAACAATTAAACCTCCTTCATTTTTATTTAAATTAATTTATCTAATCTAGTTTTTTACTTATATCTTCTATTAAATTTACCATATTTTATTCAACAACTTAATCACATACATACATGCCCTATTATCGACTGTAAATAATGTATCTTGATTTCTATTAGAGATTATAGTTCTAAGTCCACTTCTATCTATTAACCAACTCTCAATCTTTTTCCCTGAGTTTGTATCACTAATCCTTGTTATTGACCCTTTTGAGTCTGATAGTATAATATTTTTATTTTAAAAAACTATCATATCTGTAATAAATTGATCTTTTAATTGCTTTATACGAGATATATTTTCTATCTACAAATTTAGGTTAAGTAGTTTAGTGTGTAATATTTCATTATTTGAAGTCAATACTACCCATGAAAATTGATCTTTCATTGTAAAGATAAATCGTATTATTCTTTTATTAAGTATTGCTCCTACATTTGCTTTTTATGAGCTTATTAGAATATTATTATCAACTTCCTTTACCTACTTTCCAAACATCTCTTTGATTTATGTATTTATCTTTAAAAAATTAATAATTTTATAAACACTTCATTTTTAAATTTCTGTAGCATAATTAAAAATTATAAAAAAAAATAATTCAAGCTCCCTTTATTTTATGCGAAATCTATTTTCAATATTTATAATATATAATATTCAATTTCCCTGTATTTTAGGCGAAATCTATTTTCAATGTTTCTAATATATAATATTCAATTTCCCTTTATTTTAGGCGAAATCTATTTTGAATATTTATAATATATAATATTAAATTTCCCTTTATTTTATGCGAAATCTATTTTCAATATTTATAATATATAATATTCAATTTCCCTGTATTTTAGGCGAAATCTATTTTCAATGTTTCTAATATATAATATTCAATTTCCCTTTATTTTAGGCGAAATCTATTTTGAATATTTATAATATATAATATTAAATTTCCCTTTATTTTATGCGAAATCTATTTTCAATATTTATAATATATAATATTCAATTTCCCTGTATTTTAGGCGAAATCTATTTTCAATGTTTCTAATATATAATATTCAATTTCCCTTTATTTTAGGCGAAATCTATTTTGAATATTTATAATATATAATATTAAATTTCCCTTTATTTTATGCGAAATCTATTTTCAATATTTATAATATATAATATTCAATTTCCCTGTATTTTAGGCGAAATCTATTTTCAATGTTTCTAATATATAATATTCAATTTCCCTTTATTTTAGGCGAAATCTATTTTGAATATTTATAATATATAATATTAAATTTCCCTTTATTTTATGCGAAATCTATTTTCAATATTTATAATATATAATATTCAATTTCCCTGTATTTTAGGCGAAATCTATTTTCAATGTTTCTAATATATAATATTCAATTTCCCTTTATTTTAGGCGAAATCTATTTTGAATATTTATAATATATAATATTAAATTTCCCTTTATTTTATGCGAAATCTATTTTCAATATTTATAATATATAATATTCAATTTCCCTGTATTTTAGGCGAAATCTATTTTCAATGTTTCTAATATATAATATTCAATTTCCCTTTATTTTAGGCGAAATCTATTTTGAATATTTATAATATATAATATTAAATTTCCCTTTATTTTATGCGAAATCTATTTTCAATATTTATAATATATAATATTCAATTTCCCTGTATTTTAGGCGAAATCTATTTTCAATGTTTCTAATATATAATATTCAATTTCCCTTTATTATAGGCGATATCTATTTTCAATGTTTCTAATATATAATATTCAATTTCCCTTTATTTTAGGCAAATCTGTTTCCAAAGTTTGTAATATATAAAATTCAATTTCCCTTTAATTTAGGCGATAAAAATTATCAACAATATAATATATGCTGAGTATGTTATAAACATAAATATGAATTAACTGATTAAAATTATTAAATATATTAATAATATACATATATATTATTAATAATGTAGTTTAAAGTATAATGTAATGATCATTCTATTAAAGCCACTATCTCTTTTGATGCTCTTATAGTAATCAAGTAGAATCCTGTTTCATCTGAATATAATAAATCTTCTCCTTTATCTGTTATCTGTAGGCAGCTTTGATTTTAAAAGTCGATATTTTATTTTGCGTGTGTTAAAGTTCCCTTTAATCTATCCCGAACAATTAAAAGTTATCTATCGTTGATATTAATTCTAAATAACTCCAAATTATCATTCAATTTGCATGGACAAAATATTTACTATTATTTCCTTAGATTATAATCTTCTGGCTATAAATCGATTAGTTCTTAAAATTCAGCATTTCCTTAATTATCTACATAATATAAGTGGTATTCAAGCCTCAATAATATAATTGTATTTGGCTCTACAAATACAATCTAATCCAATGGTGGAGGTCCTCTTACACACATTTTTAAACATACGAAAAATGGAAAGAATTCATATGTCTGTTCCCAACATTAATCTTTTCTGTTGAGAGTATATAACCATGCATAGCCATCAGATCCTAGAACAATTAAACCTCCTTCATAATTATTTAGATTAATTTATCTAATCTGGTTTTTTACTTGTATTTTTTATGAAATTTTCCATTTTTTATTCAACAACTTAATCACATATATACATGCCTTATTATCTACTGTAAATAATGTATCTTAATTTCTATTAGAGATCACAGTTCTAAGTCCACTTCTATCTATTAACCAACTCTCAATCTTTTTCCCCTAGTTTGTATCACTGATCCTTGTTATTGACCCTTTTGAGTCTGATAGTATAATATATTTATTTTAAAAAACAATCATATCTGTAATAAATTGATCTTTTAATTGCTTTATACGACGTATACTTTTTATCTTCAAATTTGGATTCTGAAGTTTTGTATGTAATATTTCATTATTTGAAGTAAATACTACCCATGAAAATTCATCTTTCATTATAGAAATAAATCGTATTATTCTTTTATTAAGTATTGCTCCTACATTTGCTTTTTATGAGCTTATTCGAATATTATCATAAACTTCCTTTACCTACTTTCCAAACATCTCTTTAATTTATGAATTTATCTTTAAAGAATTAATAATTTTATAAACACTTCATTTTTAAATTTCTGTAACATAATTAAAAATTATAAAAAATTAATTCAATTTCCCTGTATTTTAGGCGAAACCTATTTTCAATGCTTCTATTATATAATATTCAATTTCCCTGTATTTTAGGCGAAAATTTTGTTTCAATGATTATAATATAATATTAAATTTCCCTGTATTCTAGGCGAAAAGTATTTTCGATGTTTCTAATATATAATATTAAATTTCCCTGTATTTTAGTTAAAATATGATTTCAATAATTTAATATTACTTTATTAAAATCCCTTTATTTTAGGCGAACGAAATATAGATATATATAATAAGTGAGATAATTTTATAAAAAGCATATAAAAATAACCTAATATATAAATAAACCAATTATTGAAAAGCTAAAATTTAAATGCATTAAGTATTATTATAATAAACAAACTAAACTATGAACAAATTACAAACTCCCTTAGATTTGATAAAATTAACATACGTGTAAAGGATTTTACCCACTGATACTGATATGTTTGTCCCAATAACAGACAATAGTTTTTTCATTACATAAAAATCTAAATTGTGTTATTGTTAATTTCGTTGTGATAAAGTGGAAATTGTTAGTAGTTGCTTAGTGAATAACTTGCATAATTTCTCAGTTAAAACCATTCTTTATTAAGAATCTACTAGAAGACTGATTATTTTGGATTATTATAATTAACTATCTATTTTATCTTTAATAGGGTCTAATAGTGCGAAGAAATTAATGCTTTAACCTTTAATGTTTAAAGTTGACAGTATGTTACTCAGTAATACATCTAAACAGATTTTTATATTATCCGAATCCTAACTCATAATTGTCAAATTAACTTGTATTTTTTAAAAAGAGATCTGTACTGTTCCTTTAACCTAATTTTGTTCAATTGAACAATATACGCTTGCATACTTTTCATTCAGACCTAATACTGTAAAATTTATTTAAAACTCATCATCATCAATATTGTTAATCTATAATAATTATAAAGTATGGGTTTGTTAAGAGAATTCAACTTGTTCATGGGGTGTATTACAAACATTAGAATAAAGTGGTATTTAGAGTCTCTTTTTTGTGCAGTAGGATATTTTTTTTATACAACTTTATAATAATACTTTAATAAGTTATTCTAGAGTTGGAGAAAAATAGTTTTCTTGTTTGTAAAAAATAAAATTTCCTTTTAAGTATGATTCTTAGACTAGCTTGTTTTTACCTATGTTATTTTAGTGTCGCTTTTATATTTATTAATGCTTGTTTAGAGGTAAGTATATACTTGTTTTAAAAGACATAGTAACAGGTGATTATTAAATTCTTTGTACTAGTATATAAAGTTAATTTCTATAACATAAAAGATGTTACTAGTATTCAAAGCATGAACATGCAGTTTTTTAAATTTCAGTTGAGTGTGTTGATTCTATATCTAATGTTTAATGATAACAAGATATCCATATATATATATTTATATAAAATCAATTTATATACNAACTCCAAATTATCATTCAATTTGCATGGACAAAATATTTACTATTATTTCCTTAGATTATAATCTTCTGGCTATAAATCGATTAGTTCTTAAAATTCAGCATTTCCTTAATTATCTACATAATATAAGTGGTATTCAAGCCTCAATAATATAATTGTATTTGGCTCTACAAATACAATCTAATCCAATGGTGGAGGTCCTCTTACACACATTTTTAAACATACGAAAAATGGAAAGAATTCATATGTCTGTTCCCAACATTAATCTTTTCTGTTGAGAGTATATAACCATGCATAGCCATCAGATCCTAGAACAATTAAACCTCCTTCATAATTATTTAGATTAATTTATCTAATCTGGTTTTTTACTTGTATTTTTTATGAAATTTTCCATTTTTTATTCAACAACTTAATCACATATATACATGCCTTATTATCTACTGTAAATAATGTATCTTAATTTCTATTAGAGATCACAGTTCTAAGTCCACTTCTATCTATTAACCAACTCTCAATCTTTTTCCCCTAGTTTGTATCACTGATCCTTGTTATTGACCCTTTTGAGTCTGATAGTATAATATATTTATTTTAAAAAACAATCATATCTGTAATAAATTGATCTTTTAATTGCTTTATACGACGTATACTTTTTATCTTCAAATTTGGATTCTGAAGTTTTGTATGTAATATTTCATTATTTGAAGTAAATACTACCCATGAAAATTCATCTTTCATTATAGAAATAAATCGTATTATTCTTTTATTAAGTATTGCTCCTACATTTGCTTTTTATGAGCTTATTCGAATATTATCATAAACTTCCTTTACCTACTTTCCAAACATCTCTTTAATTTATGAATTTATCTTTAAAGAATTAATAATTTTATAAACACTTCATTTTTAAATTTCTGTAACATAATTAAAAATTATAAAAAATTAATTCAATTTCCCTGTATTTTAGGCGAAACCTATTTTCAATGCTTCTATTATATAATATTCAATTTCCCTGTATTTTAGGCGAAAATTTTGTTTCAATGATTATAATATAATATTAAATTTCCCTGTATTCTAGGCGAAAAGTATTTTCGATGTTTCTAATATATAATATTAAATTTCCCTGTATTTTAGTTAAAATATGATTTCAATAATTTAATATTACTTTATTAAAATCCCTTTATTTTAGGCGAACGAAATATAGATATATATAATAAGTGAGATAATTTTATAAAAAGCATATAAAAATAACCTAATATATAAATAAACCAATTATTGAAAAGCTAAAATTTAAATGCATTAAGTATTATTATAATAAACAAACTAAACTATGAACAAATTACAAACTCCCTTAGATTTGATAAAATTAACATACGTGTAAAGGATTTTACCCACTGATACTGATATGTTTGTCCCAATAACAGACAATAGTTTTTTCATTACATAAAAATCTAAATTGTGTTATTGTTAATTTCGTTGTGATAAAGTGGAAATTGTTAGTAGTTGCTTAGTGAATAACTTGCATAATTTCTCAGTTAAAACCATTCTTTATTAAGAATCTACTAGAAGACTGATTATTTTGGATTATTATAATTAACTATCTATTTTATCTTTAATAGGGTCTAATAGTGCGAAGAAATTAATGCTTTAACCTTTAATGTTTAAAGTTGACAGTATGTTACTCAGTAATACATCTAAACAGATTTTTATATTATCCGAATCCTAACTCATAATTGTCAAATTAACTTGTATTTTTTAAAAAGAGATCTGTACTGTTCCTTTAACCTAATTTTGTTCAATTGAACAATATACGCTTGCATACTTTTCATTCAGACCTAATACTGTAAAATTTATTTAAAACTCATCATCATCAATATTGTTAATCTATAATAATTATAAAGTATGGGTTTGTTAAGAGAATTCAACTTGTTCATGGGGTGTATTACAAACATTAGAATAAAGTGGTATTTAGAGTCTCTTTTTTGTGCAGTAGGATATTTTTTTTATACAACTTTATAATAATACTTTAATAAGTTATTCTAGAGTTGGAGAAAAATAGTTTTCTTGTTTGTAAAAAATAAAATTTCCTTTTAAGTATGATTCTTAGACTAGCTTGTTTTTACCTATGTTATTTTAGTGTCGCTTTTATATTTATTAATGCTTGTTTAGAGGTAAGTATATACTTGTTTTAAAAGACATAGTAACAGGTGATTATTAAATTCTTTGTACTAGTATATAAAGTTAATTTCTATAACATAAAAGATGTTACTAGTATTCAAAGCATGAACATGCAGTTTTTTAAATTTCAGTTGAGTGTGTTGATTCTATATCTAATGTTTAATGATAACAAGATATCCATATATATATATTTATATAAAATCAATTTATATACAATGATATATCATGATATTTATTTTGAACTGATATCTAACTAGAGTTAAAAGTGTAATCTCAATAAAATCAATTTTCAAAACAACTGTTATATCTTGTAAAGTAAATTTGATAAATGCCTTTAAGACCTTATAAAATCAACTCCTCACATGGCTGTAAGACCTTATGAAATCAACTTTTAATATGCCTTTAAGATCTTACTAAATCAACTTCTAAAATGCCTTTAAGACCTTATGAAATCGACTTCTAGAATGCCTTTAAGACCTTATGAAATCGACTTCTAGAATGCCTTTATAACCATATGAAATTAACTTCTAAAATTCCTTTAAGACCTTATTGAATCAACTTCTAAAACGGCTGTTACTCCCTAAGAAAAT